TGCAAAAATCAACACGAAATGTCATAATTGTCAAAAGTAAAAGGTCATCAGCTTTTGATATTTCTAAATATCAGACCAATACCGTCTCTAATAGAACAGCCTCGGAGCGAGACTTATGACATCACGCTAGTTAAATACTACGGATTAATAAATATGTTGTAGAATACATGGAAAACATAATTATTCCTCGTATTTTTCGTTTGTATTTTAAAAATTATATAATTTACATGAAATATACATAATATACAGTTAATAAATACAATATATATACCTATTTATAGTAATAAATAGTTTGACAAATAAACTATGAACCATACAAATGCAGCAAATGTTTTACAGTATACAAATAATGAATAGATACATAAGATAATGGGTACATTGTAAAATATATTTTAAATTTTGGTGTTTTAAAATCGATCTAATTTAACAAAAAATATTCAATATCTACTAATAGTGATGTAATATTATTTGCATTCACAAAATTTATATGTATATTTTGCAAGTATCAATGTTCGAAAAATTATATTTGCAAATAATACAGTATCATAGAAAAAAATTCGTCAGCGATGGCTATGAAATAACGATCGCTGTCATTTTATATGTAAAATTATTCTAAAATTTTTGATTTTCTTGAGATTTAGGTTCGGGAAGTTTTCATTTGGTTTTTCATTATTTTTATTTGTCTAAAAAAAAAGTTTCGGCTAACATTATAGCCTTCATCAGTGTTGTGTCATATGAAAAAAATAGTGTCGAATATAATCCAAAAAATTATATATCAAATATTCATGGCTGAAGTCGTACTCCATAGTCAATGTAGATAGTTTTAGTGTTAATAATAATAATTTAAAAAAATATGTGGTCATCTTTTGACAAGTATATATTAGTTTATTAATTTCAGTAAACATTATGTGGCGTGTGGTGTGAATATTAGTATTATTAGTAGTATCTAACTAGCGTGACGTCATAAATCTCGCTCCGAGACTGTTCTATTAGAAACGGCATTGCGTCAGCATGGCCGCAAGTTGCTAACCTAATAAAATTAACATTAGAACAGCCCGCGGGAACTGTCAAATTCAAAGTTACTCGTTTCATAGACTATAGCAACGGTTTTCAATATACATATTTCGAATCGAAATAATCGATATATGTCATCACTGACAAAAATTGAACAAGTTGACTAGATAGTTATTATACTGAAATAATAGATTTGAAATGTTTTTGTGCCAAATGTTCAACAGAAACTGTTTTATCATAAAATTTTTCTAGAAATAAGAACTTATGATAAATTTAGTGTTCCCAAATTTATCATTTCAGTCAAATAACTATCGAGTCAACATTATGATGCCGTTGATGACATGGATAAGAAACGGTAAAAATATACAACGGTATATATTTTCTCTCAGTAGTATAATACAGGTACAGACAAAACATTATTACTCTTCATAACAGTTAACATGACATCTAAATCGAATTTCTCATGTCATAGAACACCCAGACACCAATTTTTATCCAAATATCGATATTAGTTCAAAAATTATTTGAAAAAACCGAAATAAAAATGAAATCTCTACACACTGTGTTTCCGAAACGAAGAAATTTAGAACATAAATTTATACGAACTTTTTTACTTATTCTTGATTACGATTTTGACCACCTCGCTAAAACATTTGATCATTTTTTAGACAATATTTCGTAAAACTCTCTGCCGAAAGTTTCAGGCTTGTTCAAATCTTTCTTTTTTTGGACCGCCTGAGAAGTCAAAAAACGCGAACTTTTAAAATATATATAGTTTCTATGTGTAGCAGAGGATATTCTAAAATGTTATAGTTATTCTAAAGAAGAAAAAATAGTGTTGTGCTTAGGGTTTTTTGTAAGGCACACGAAAGTACAATATTAATTAGAGCGAAAAAAAAACAGATTGTGCATTAAAAATTGAAAGTAAATTAGGAATGGGTTGTTTTGCATGTTTTTTATTATATTATGGCGATATTTACAATATCCAAGCGCCGTAGAATCAACTATATAGGTTATACTATATCATTTAGGTATTTGAATATTACTTCGAAAAGTTAGAACTGATCAAACTGAAAGGTACCTAAAAAGATTTTGTTATATAACAACGAACTTTAAAAAAAATCAGACGGTTCTAATGTTTCGAAAAAGAATATACATTTTGCGTTATTATTTTTACAGATAAAGTTTTATTTATACTGAGAGTTATTTTTTTAGTATTGTATACACATACTATTTCATTATTATATATACTAGTTTCGTGTGTTTTTTTTATATTATATATATCGAAAGTTTTTTTTGCTAGATAGTGTTTAACCCGTTAGGAATAAACAAAATTGTGGATTGTGAAGCAATAAGCTCTATGAGAAACGTATAAGTAATATACCAAAAATATTATTAATATACTTAAAAAAAATAAATAAGAAAGTCCTAAAAAAAATAAAAAAAATCATAAATATATATTTTTTATTCTAATTCCGTTTTTTCGACAAATTTTCGAGTATAGTAGGTGGTGATACAAAAAAAACTATTTTAAAAAAGTATATTATACATGTTTTCCTGCATTTTATCCATTGTGGCTTCAATCGTAGACAAAACTCTAATAGTCATTTCTAAAGTACAAATGTTTTAAATGTATGTGTGAACATATCACGTTCTAAGCCCCTTCTTATCCCATCGTGTTTAAATAAAATATATGTCGTTACAAAAAAAGTATCTGGTATTTTGTAATGGATTTAAATGTGCAAAACGAGGTGTGTCACATACGTTTTGGGCCTGAATGGTCTGAAGTTCTTCCTTTTTATTGATCATAATGTGCCATATTTGTTGAAATTTATTAAACAAAATTAATCCCCCCGACTTTCAAACTTATCTTTTAATATTAATTTTATTTATATCTTGTAACAGTGTCTTGATTTTACAGAAATTTAGTAAATTTTTCACTGTAAGTAATAGAACATTCAACAACATTCATAAAATATATAAAAGAATGTCGTAGTAGGGCATCCAAATAACATCTGGTAATGTTTCTAGGCGATTCAAGTTATTTTAACCATGAATACCTCTATAAAGGTTGCGAAGGGGTTTCAATATGGGTGACTCTACTTCCGTTTGATCAGTGGCGTTCGTAATTGGTTAAATTATGTGATTGTTTAATAACAAAAATATCCACGCTAATGGAATATCTAAATAAGTCTTAAAATTTGCATATCTTAATTATTTTTGGCAGGTAATAGCTGCGAAATTACATGAATAAAAACATAATTAGTTAACTTTAAAGCATCATCAGAACCTCGTAATTAGTGGAATAAATTAGTGGTTTCAATTATACTTTAGTATATTAACAATCAATCACAATGTCTAAAAAACACAATTAAAATTAATAGAATATCCCAGCAACTAGCGACAGCTTGCGGTAATCAGTTGTATCCATAGAGAAAGCCTAATATTTAGCTTATAAAACAATAAACTTTTGATTTCTAACCACATTTTTCTTGACGGATGATGATCAAAAGCCAAAATTACATTCGTCGCTAATTTTGAAGTATAATTAGTGGAAGAGTTAAAAGTTTGGTAACTTTTTCCACTAATTGAAAATTCCTACCACTAATTTTGACGTTCTAAATGCTTACATTTAAATTAGAGGAACAAACTTCTACGCTAATTGAAACCACTAATTTATTCTACTAATTGCGAGGTTCTGAATGAAGCTTTTTTCTACAAATTGAAACTGTCTACCACTAATTTTGACGTTCTGAATGCTTACATTTAAATTAGAGGAACAAACTTCTACGCTAATTGAAACCACTAATTTATTCCACTAATTGCGAGGTTCTGAATGAAGCTTTTTTCTTCAAATTGAAACTGTCTACCACTAATTCTGACGTTCTGAATGCTTACATTTAAATTAGAGGAACAATCTTCTACGCTAATTGAAACCACTAATTTATTCCACTAATTGCGAGGTTCTGAATGAAGCTTTTTTCTACAAATTGAAACTGTCTACCACTAATTTTGACGTTCTGAATGCTTACATTTAAATTAAAGAAACAAACTTCTACGCTAATTGAAACCACTAATTTATTCCACTAATTGCGAGGTTCTGAATGAAGCTTTTTTCTACAAATTGAAACTGTCTACCACTAATTTTAACCTTCGGAATGCTTACATTTAAATTAGAGGAACAAACTTCTACGCTAATTGAAACCACTAATTTATTCCACTAATTGCGAGGTTCTGAATGAAGCTTTTTTCTATAAATTGAAACTGTCTACCACTAATTTTGACGTTCTGAATGCTTACATTGAAATTAAAGGAGCAAATTTGTACGCTAATTGAAACCACTAATTTGTTGAACCTAAAAATTAGTGGTTTCAGTTAGCGTAGAGGTTTGTTCCTCTAATTTCAATGTAAGCGTTCAGAACGTCAAAATTAGTGGTAGTAATTTTAAGAAATAACTCAAAACTGCTTTTCTACTATCTCTTATATCGTTATGTTAAACTGAACAGTTTTAAATATGAAGCAATAAAAATGATATGGATACTGAGTTTTTAATATTGAAAGATAAGTTTGAAAGACGCTGTTGAACTGTTCTTTATACAAAAAGGAAAAAAGGACCCAAGGAACAAACGCGTGCGACATAAATAGTTTTATTAGCTATAAACGAAATAATTAACTGTGTCTTAGTCCTGTCATATTAAACGAATTAAGAAATGTATACATTTTTGACTAATATTGTTATCTCTTTCCAAAGATTTTTAGCGATAAGTTACTAATAATAATATTGAATAATGATTAATTCTTATTATTAATCGTGCTAAAGGCGTAATATATTCCTAGATATTTACAGAGACAAGATTGGCATGTCGTCGTCTATCAACTATTTATTACCTTATTATTATTCCTGTTCTTTTTAGGGACAGAGACAGACGTGTGTACTATATTATACTCTGTTTCGAGATATATCTGACATGATTTGTGTTTTATAGATGCCGTGACAGTCGTTGTTATCCAACCCGGCAGTTCCTCCCCTTCCCAAAAATCCCTCCTCTATCAAGAAGTGGCATTTACGTGTTTTTTGATAGAAAATAAGCGTTTTTTCGATGTATTCTTGGCCGTTGTTCATGCAGAGTTGCGCAACCGAAACCAAATCGCACGAAGAATTGCCAGAAACGATTCGAAGGCCCGTTTTGCGTCGGTTCTGCAGGAACACGTTTATTTTTTGTGACTGTAACAATCTGTGTACCTTTTTGAGATATATTTATATAAGCTAAGGCACTCTTGTTTCTCTGCTTAACCTCGAAATTTAGGTAAGACGACCTTGCGCTTCAGTATTTTGACTTTGACTATAAAAGGAAAATTAATTACCTACTCTTATATAAATATACATCATACATAGTTTATCTTAGATAATATTATATATGTATTATATCTACTTATATTCGTGAAGGTTTAAAGTTTTGATACTGGACGACCTTTTCGATTTTTGCTATGCCAGATATTAATTATTATATTCGTATTGCCTTATTGTTTTACATCTATGGTTATTCAGGGTGGCAAGAGCTAATAAGAGCTCTGTATTTTTCGAGATGTTTTTTTTATTTAAATTGTACTAAAAGTTGTTTTGATTTGTATGTTATATTGGTTTATGAATATAATTAATTATTCTAGAAATCGTGACTTTTATTTTGCTCTTTTTATTTATGAAAAATTGGATACAATCCGAGACATAGAGATATTGTCAATTTGATGTAAGTCCAAGAGATCAGTTACAAAACAATTTCCGATGCACGTGATCAACTTTGAGTGACAAAAGCGATGGCGACAGCGCTGCCAGATTGGATTTATTAGATGAATCTTAATTTAAAATTGACAAACAATATATTTATTATATAATTTTCTAAAAAGTTTTACGTTTTATTTTTAATTCAATAACTAATATTTTAGTAATTCATTTATTTATTTGTTTTATACCTTATTTTACTTATTACATATTGTCAAAAACTAGTCCATTATTTTATAACAAAAGATTAATTTGTTAAAATTATTTATTTGAAATCTTACATAAACGTATCTAGTAAATTTAATTAGCCTTTTACTGCATGGATGCGCGCCTGGGAATCGCCGCCGGTCGCCTATCCCTCCTTCATGTAGGTGTTATTGACCTCGAACGCAAACGACAAATTTAAGCCGGAAAATCGCGCATACAGTTGCAGCAGCTTACGGCAGCGATCTATTTGCCGCCTTCCTCGACTTTGAATTTATCGGGACGGGTTCGCTTGCGATTTTATAGGTAATATTATAATAAATTAAATCCAAAATTTTATGATGATGTTATAGACAAATTTGCAATGGCTGATAGACGAATAGACCTCAAATACAAATAGGTGCCTATCGCGCGTCAAGTGCTTCGGAAAATTAATTTAAAATATCGTATTTTAACTATTATAACTTTATGTGTTTTTGTTTGTTTAACAAATTTCGATACAATTTTAATCGAACAATGGAATTGGCCTAGGAATTTTCAAAGGTAAGTTTTTTAAGAAAATGTAAAAGTATGTCTCGAAATAGGGTTTTTTACCGATTCGCTTCCCGCACGCCGCTGGAGCTTATCAATTAAACTTATTTCTCTGACTGCAGTCAATGGTAATAAAAGACCTTTACTGTCACGTTCTCGTTCAAATTGTTTATCAGGGAAGCTATAAGCTCTTTGCTTCGACTGTTAAATGCTTCGGCATATTTTCAACACACAAATTTCAAGAAATGCAATACAAAAACTAGAAAATTTATAACTGTTTGTGCTTAAAACTGCAATTTAAAAAAAAAAGACTACGAAAATAGACAAAAAAACGAAAATTGCTCACAAAGATTCAACAACACGATATTATACAAAATAATGACTGACATTAAGATAATTGTCAAGTAATAAACGGCAACATTGCTGAACACGGCGCTATGTGACCAATATAGCGATAATAAAATTCGGTTTAAACTAATTTTTGCAGCTTTAATCTAAATACAATATCTGTTACTGTGACTTAGCTGTCACTAATAATTGGACAGTTCAAAATTTGCATGGGATTTCCTGTTTCGCCGATGCACCACCCGGTATACGATCTTGGTTAATAAACTTTTTTTTACTAAATAAATGACAACCTAGCATATTTCTGTTTACATCCTAGTTTGTATATCTTCGGTTCCCTAATTTTATACAGTAAGGTTTGTCTAATCATAATATTGGTCTGAGATTTTAAATATAATTTTTGGTAATCCTAGTCAATAAAACAAAATGCAACATAAATATTTACACATTTATTAAATTCTGTGTTTAAACAATTAAAAAAACAACATAACGAAACTTATGCTAAATCCTTTAAACACTACCTCTTATTTTTCACAGTCATTCAAGAACTTGATGACACTTGGACATTTTGTGACCAAGAAATTTGAAGAGAGGGGATATAAAAATGTCCATAATAAATAATTAAAATTGAATAATTCTATTACCCTAGATATTTACATGCGTTTAAAAATATGATATTTAAGAACAACTGAAAAATTATATCACCCATAAAAAATATATTTAAAATCGAGTGCAAAGCTTCATTCAGAACCTGGCAATTAGTGGTTTCAATTAGTGTAGAAGTTTGTTACTCTAATTTCAAGATAAGCATTCAGAACGTCAAAATTAGTGGAAAAAGTTAACAAACTTTCAACTTTTCCACTAATTATACTTCAAAATTTGCGAGGAATGTCATTTTGGCCTTTGATTGTCATCTGTCAAGAGAAAAATGTGGTTAGAAATCAAAAGTTTATTGTTTTATAAGCTAAATATTAGGCTTTCTCTATGGAAACAAATGATTACCGCAAGCTGTTGCTAGGACATTCTATTAATTTTAATTGTTTTTTAGACATTGTGAATTATTGTAAACTAAAATGTATAAAGTATAATTGAAACCACTAATTGCGAGGTTCTGAATGAAGCTTAAGAATGACTAATAATTACAGAAAGCAAGCCATTCCTTTTAGACAAAGATTTCAAGACTGTTGTTTCGTTAATTAACCTAGAAATTTGTTTATAAATACGTATATTTTTCAAGTTTTTTTTACTTGGGGCGTTATTTAATTTATTTAATATACCAGGTGTCCCAGTACACCTGGTCTAACGAAATACCCGAATTAAAATCAAAGCCCTTTGACCTTTTCTTTTTATAATACACCCTGTATATTTTATAAGACTGAATCAAAAAAAACTTTAACTTATGATGCACTGTTATAAAGGGAGTTTGGTTTAGATTTGAAATATCCTATAAAATATATGTACGCTGGCGATCATGGAAAATAAAAACTTGTTTAGGTACTGAGACATCCGGTATAGCACAATATAAAACCATTTACTCCATAGAAAAATTATCAATACAAACTAATAGATAAATTCATTTCTTTACAAAATACCTTACTAAAAAAACAGAATAACGACAGTGCTTCAACTTGCTGGCCATTCATTTTACAGATTCAAAAATACAGAAGAAAATCCTTTAAAAGGAACAGTTCATAATTAATGAAAAAAAAACGTTTCCAAAATAATGACATAATAATTATAATTATTTAAGTTTATTACAATTAAAACGTATAGAAATATTTCTTGTGCATTTTTTTGGTTCTTCACTAGACAAGAGAGGAAAGTAATATCAATAATAAGCAATTAAAACAAACGAAATAAAAATGCTTAAGAGAATAGTTCATTTATTTTATAAACCAGAAGCTAGAGGCTTGCTTAAAAGGTAAAATAGTAGTATTTGTTACTGTAAAAGCAATAATAATAGTTTTATCAAGTAAATTCATATTAAAGTATGATGATCATTCAATGTTACCTCATTTTATTATGTCGTACTCTCTCTTTCTTGTTATAAAGGAATGAAACAGATGCTAGGCATCATTATGACATTTCGTAATCACAGCATATTGTTTCTAGTAAATGTCATTTCACGTCTGTGGTTATGACCGTGCTGACAGGTGTCGATCAATGTCAAAATTAACAAACAACAGCGCTATCAAATAAACTTATTCAAATCCGTTAGTTACTAAAATATGTTTATCGCTAAATCTATTATATGCGACAAAAAATGTAAATTGAAAGCAACTAAAATTACTTAATGTCAAATATACTTATTTGAAATTAATAAATTCGGAACGCATTCTAAATTACTAATTTTGGAACGTACTTGAAATTTCCTAAAAAATATGATTATATTTCATATTTGACCTTAGATCTTATTTTATAAGATCTAAGTATTTGACAAATAATGATGACGTAACGTTGAACGATAGCTGAACAATCTTTACCATTATCTGATTATAGAAAATCTTTGAATAAAAAGATTTAGGAAGGAGCATTATATTCATATCAGCTAGCATATTCATGCATGGGTGGGGATCCTTGACAGTTCTGTTTGACACATTTGAATTTGATTTGAAATTTTGTGGATTTGACAGTCTTTATTGAACTTATTTTATGTTATTTATTATTTATTCTACCACTGATAGTGGTATATAGTAAATCTAGATACGAATTGTGGCAGAACTTAAATTAACAGTGACACTATTGTGATTTATCGAAAAAGACTGTAAAATTGTTGGCTGTGTAGCGTGCGGTAGATCTCGGCAAAACTCGAGGGAAATAATGGAATAACTTTTCGCTAGTAAGTGACTATATAATATACATACGTGTAGTAAACCGATTATTTATGAAATTCACTTAAATTAACTAATTATATAATTTTTCTTGTATTTTTGCTTTTATTTACTACTCGTCACAGATTAGATGTCAAAGAATTTAGATACGTCAGTTTGACTTACCTGCTTCAGTAGCGTAACGGATGTGTGTATTAATAAATAATTATTATAACTTATCTATTTTTATTAGAATTATATTTTTTATAACAATTTTAATAACTACCAACATATATTCACGACGTAAAATAAAACAACAAATTATTGAGTCTCCCTACGTCTACCCTACATCATAGTTTTACACTTTTTAAATAAAATTAGAACGGCACTGATAAACCGGAATTTCAGTCCCATCGCGATGGATCTAAGATATTTGATATGCTCCTTCCTTAATCTTAAAAGACACCTAAAGTACAAAAAATAATTCCCAACAACCTTCTTGCTTCTACAGTAACAAATTCACATGGAAGAAATAAAGAAACTTAATATTAATGGCAACGTTATCAGTTGAACGGAGATTCTCAATGTGCTCATGTTACCTCGTCAGTTTTGTATAAACCCCGTACCCTGATGATTTCGTCGATCACACGCGATTTCTTCACTTGGACGATGGCGTTCATCATTCTTCTAACTTCGGCACTGGGAGCTTCATTCACGTTGTAGACGAAATTCTCAGTGTCCATCGGAGATGTTGCCTGATTTTTTGGGACTGTCGGTTCGGGAACATCTTCGGGTTTCTCTGGCTCCTCCTTTGGTTCTTCTGTAAAACAACAATAAATATAGAGAAATGAATAACAGTTGGCGCGCACGTCATCAAAGACAGTGACGCTATTATCAAATTCAATTTTTAATTAAAAAAATTCGTTTCAAACTTAAAGCGCATTTTTTGTTTTTTCTTATAATCTTATTATCCTGGTAAAAAAAATTGTGAGTGCACTATGTGCGCATATTTGAAGTAAAACTTCTTAACAGCTACCGTATGATCGAGAAAAAACGGCGTCAGCGATGGCTATGGAATGAAGATCGCTGTCATTTTATATGTAAATTTATACGGGAAATGTCATCGATGTTCATTTCCCAGCCAACTGGACGCCGTTTTTTTTCGATCATACGGTACTAACTTGAAGGATTTAAAGGATATACAGGGTGGTCCGAACTGTATCCCGGAAACTTCGGCAGCATATTCTGTAGATTAAAATAAGTCAAAAAGTTCGTATCAATATGTGTCTTAAAATGCTTAGTTTCGGAGATACAGGGTGTAGAGTTTCATTTTTATTTCGATTTTTTTCCAAATAATTTATGAAGTAACGTCAATATTTGCATGCAAATTGGTGTCGTTTGTTGAGTTTTTTGACATGAGAAATTTGACTTTTATGTCAATATAACTCCTACCTGTAGAGGGCGCCACCTACATATATTATGTTTTAACTGGTTTGAAGAGTAATAACTTTTCGTCCATACCTGTATAAAACTACTGAGTAAAAAAATACACATTTACAACTTTTTTTTCATAAAAAATGTCTCTTGGTAAAAATCGCTACGAGTAATGGTTCTCAAGATGTTTGGAATTGAAATTATCAATCCCTGTCATCATTGACATAAATAGTTATTAGACTGAAATCATAAATTTGAAATCTTTTAGTGCCAAAAGTTCAACAGAAACTGTTTAATCATCATTTTTCGCAGAAAAAATTATGATTAATTTAAAAAAATAAAAATTTGTTATTTCAGTCAAATAATTATTATACTCAACGTGTGCTTGATTTTTTGTCAATAAAGACATGTATTGTCTATTTCCATTCTAAATATCTTGAGCTCGTAGCGATTTTTACCAAGAGACATTTTTTACGTAAAAAGCCATGGAAATGTATATTTTTCTAGTCAGTTGTTTTATACAGGTACGGACGAACAGTTATTACTCTTAAAACAGTCAAAACGCATGTAGGTGGCACCGCCTACAAATAGGAGTCATTTTGACATCAAAATCAAATTACTTGTGTCACAAAACTCCCAGATATCAATTTTCATTCATACCAATCAAGTATTGACGATACTTCGTAAATTATTTAGAAAAAATTGAAATAAAAATGAAGCTTCTACACCCTGTATCTCCGAAACTAAGTATTTTAGGACATACATTTATACGATTTATTTTAATTTTTTTTATCTGCAGAATATGCTGCCGAAGTTTCCGGAATACAGTTCGGACCACCCTGTATAACAACCTGATAATTCTATCACTTGGCCGGATAGCCTGGCAGCTGTGGCCATTAAACCAAAATACTGCTACATCTATATCTCTGACTACTGCTAACTGCTACTAACCAACAATTTGTTTTGTGTGGTCTGTGGTCTGTTTTTGTTTAATTGTTTTGTTCATTGTTCATGTTGGGGATATATTTTTAAACTAATGTTAATCGTTAGGCAAGCTCATAGAATATGTATTTCTTTGGCATAATCAAAATTATGACTTTAAATTTTACATACCTAACCAAATTGTCACTCTTTTTTAGACAGATGTCTTGACACTATTCTTAAAATAAAATTTTAATCAATCACAATTGTTTATCTCCATCATTTGCCGGATTAAATACAGTAGAAACAATTCATTATTTAGAGTGATTTACAATAATTTGCGTAATAAACTAGTAAAAATTTCAATTTCTCGGGAGAAAAGTCAAACGAAATTACCAAAAAACATTTCAAAATGGCTACCGCGACGCTCTTTTTTCCGTCATTAATTTATTAATATAAAAGCAGTATATAATAGTTTTTCTATCCGATGATTTGATGTTGTTTATTTATTCTTTATATCCCTGTCAATTACAAAGACGCAAACTTACCTAACGTCTTAATTTCTGGGGGGACAACAAGTGGATCCTGTTTGATTTCAATTTCGACATTTTCTTTAGGCGGGGGATCATCGGGGATGGTAATGCATTCGGACGTTACGTTTTGAAGAGCCGAAAATGACCTAACCTGTATAAAAAATATTACATAATTTTAAATACAAAATATGTTCATTTTTTAATTCATTAATAATTTAATTTTGAGCACCCTGTACAATTTAAGTATGTATAGTAGTATGTCCAACGAGAGAATCCATGACAGTGCAAATTGTGTCTGTCATTTTAATTCACAGGTTAATTGCATTTTCTGCAATTTTTTGTATGTCATCTGTGGAAATCTTCCCTTACTCATTGGACAGACTAAACTGTAGTAAAAACCTAGCGTAGTCACAGATTAGGTATACTATACAGATAAAAATCTTGTTCCTAATTCGTGGTAAGAAAATTATTTTTTATGACGATGAGCAAAGGAGTAAAATTTCCTGTGCGCAAAAATAAAGTCGCGTCTAACCAGAGTAAGAACAGGGCTGGTCAGGCGCTGTGCACAATTTCAGAGGCCATAAGTGGGCGTGCTTGTGCGCAAACTAGTATCCTAACTAGTGCGCGACTCCAAAAATTGGAACCACGAAAAACAATGCTTTTGACGATACGTTTATAATCTGTATAATATGTGGCATAATTTTGATTTCAGGATATTTCTTGCGTTTTAAAAAAACTGTAAAGTAGATTTTATTTATTTGTCTCTCTGGAACTATGAAAACGAATTTAATAATAACTAAACGGAGGAACCCAAAACACAATATATAAGGCGTTCCATTAAGAAATCACCCTCAATTAGGTTTAAAAATCTACTAACTACACCTCCTACCGCGTGGGAAAATTTGCAGTGAACAGGCAGTTCTAAAAAGTTTTCGAAAAATATACAGGAAAATTTAAAAGAAAATGCACGATTTTCAACATCTTTTTTGCGAAAAAAAACTCATAGACGTGTTCCTGGGGTCGAAATACACCATCCCTGAAAATATTTGCACTTGTTTAAGACTCACCCTGTATATCGAGAAACTATGGCTACGCTCGTTGAATTTGACTCTTTATATATCAGTTTAATAATACATTTTCGTAGTTTTATGCTCAGGCGTAACAAAGTGCTTTACTTTTATGCCTATGCGTTAAAATTACTTTTTTTATATTGTCACGTTGCAAAAACTAATACTTTTGTGACGTTTGAAAGAAAGTAGTTTTTTTTATAAAAAAAACACATACCTTTAAAAATCCGCCCCTTGGCACAGGACTGGCCGGTTTATCAGCTTCAACCACTGGCACAGGCGCTTTCGAAGTACTAGGCCTAGGCTCAAGCGTAACACTCGCAGTTATCTGCTTAGTTGCAGCTGCCGCTACTGGTTGAAATACGAGCTGAAACAGTAAAAAAAAATACACCAAATTTTCACTGAAAAACTCATGATTTAAGGAGGCTACGACCCAGCTACGTCGCCCAGTTCGAGTTCTTTTTCAACTCAATTTTTACTACTCAAAACAGTGTTACATCACACAAATTTCGGACCTGAGAATTTTACAGTTTCAAATAGCTGCACTATACACTCTATACTAATATATAAAATCCTTAAGTGACTGACATACTGATTAATCACGATCCTGCTCAAACCACTCAACGTAAGAAGCTCAATTTTGGCATACAGGTTGTTTCTAGGGTGTAGAGGTTCGATAAGAAGGGATTTTTCGAAATTCCAGTTCCAAGAGGGTGAAACCACCCCTCAAATATTACAATATTTTTTATTTAAAAAAACCGTCAAGTTTCCGAAAAAAACGCTTAAACACGTATATTTTATTGTTTTTTTTTACATATTTTAAGACTTTTTAAAAATGTATACAGGGTGTTTCGAAAAATCTGGTCATTGATTAATCACGATCCTGCTTAAAGCGCTTGACGTAAAAAGCTGATTTTTGGAAAACAGATTGACTTTAGGGTGTAGAGGTTCGATAAGAAGGGATTTTTCGAAACTGGAATTCTAAGGGGGTGAAACTATCCCTCAAATATTAAAATATTTTTTATTTAAAAACCGGTGAGTTTTTCGGAAAAACTCTTAAACAAGTATATTTTATTTTGTTGTTTTACATATTTTAAGTTTTTTATAAATTTATACAGGGTGTTTCATAAAATATGATCATTGAGTAATCACGATTCTGCTTAAACTGCTTGACGTTTAAAGCTGATTTTTGGCAAACGGTTTGACTGTGGGGTGTAGAGGTTCGATAAGGAGGGGTTTCTCGAATCTCAAATTCCAAGAGGGTGAAAACGCTTGCACAAGCATAATTTATTTGGGTTTTTTACATATTTTGAAATTTTTAAAAAAATCATATAGGGTGTTCCAAAAAGTTGGGTAATTTTTTAACCACGATTCAGCTTAAACTGCTTGACGTAAAAAGCTTATTTTTGGCAAACGGATTTTTCGAAAGTCAAATTCCAACGTGATGAAACTACCCCTCAAATATTACCAAGTTATATAATAATATCGCCATATTGTTTTTTCTCATGCTGACATAAATGTGAGAAAATTTTATTCAGTTTGTATGTTAATGGAAATTCTTGCTTTGCTTTATCATTACCATTTTTTATTTATTTACCATTACAAATGATTAATTCGACGCGAACGAAGTCACTGGTATAAGCTAGTACTTAAATATTACAACATAGCCACGATTTAAATATTATTTATATGCGATCGATATGAACGATCATCGCAACGGAGTGATATAAAGTTAGCCGCACAGTTCTCATTTCTGCCGTACCGAGCGGTGCTGTCGGGATTTTAAAGATTGCCTGAAATACACTAAGCCTATAGGCTTGGTGCATTTTAGTTGATTTCAAAAAATTCCGACCGCAGCGCTTCAACGGCAGAAATCAGAAATTATCAGTATGTATTTCACGCCGCCGTCATGCCGCATTAAAATAATATTGAAATTGTGGTGTTGTCATAATATTATAAATATTTTAGTTTTTTTTGCTAGTGCAGTTATTGAGACTATAAAACACTCAGTTACGAGGTTTGTCTGATGTAACGCTGTTTCGGGTAGTAAAAAATAAGTGAAAAATAATTCGAACTAGACGTCTTTTTGTGTTGTGACAATTTGAAATGTTAATAAAATTGCCGAAAAAATGGTAACGCGTAAAGGAGAACGTAATTAAAGCGTTGTTAGGTGCAATAACATTCAATAACACAACTTTCCCGGATATTCAACTTTCCCGAAACAACATTTTATAGCTTCATAGTTTCTCACACCGATTTGATCAAAAATAAAAATGGATTCAAGCAGTTCGACGAAATAAGTGACTAAACAAATTGCTTGTTACATAATCAAAAAATTAAAGACATACCATGATAATATAAAATATAATTTGCAATATTAATGGTATACTTTTTTAACTAGTGACAGGTGAACTGGTGGCAGCACCGTCGGAGAATACACCTATAGTGCAGCCTATAGTTTGTCGTTTTTTACGTATACATCATTAAAATACTTACTGGAGGTGGCGGGGGAAAAGTTTGAGCTTTGGAAACCGCTGGATTGACAAATATCACATCGTCATCGTCCTTGACTAAAATCGGAGCTGTTGGAACTGGTTGTTTTGGGGGCAATTTAATATTCTTAATTCCTAAAAACAATACAGTAAGATATATGAAAATTCAAAGAATGAATATTTCAAAATCAAAAACACAGTAAAATTAAACTCTTCCAAAATGTCACTTTTTTTTTCTTCATATATGATTTCTTACCTGCTATAAATTCAGTACGTAGATTTTTCCTAATTTGAATTAGAGTATTGATCGAAGTACTTAGAACTTCTTGGAGCTTGTTATGAACAACGGCTAGCGCTTCGACACTGGTAGCTACCGATTGTTGTCTTAAATTTAAATAAACTATCAATAAATAATCATATAGCAACCAACATGTTGTCGAAAATCAATTTCACAATTTTTATCGCAAGTATTTATAAAATAAACATAGACTCTTTACAAAGACTATCTATCACTATCTGTAACTATTTATCTAAATACAATATTCCGTGGGTTAGAGGGCACGAAACTTTAAGAAAATAAACACATTTTTTCAGACACTTTAAGAACCATTATCCCGATTTGAATGAAATTTTGGATGTGTATATTTTGTTAAGTGAAAGCAATTTATTATGATTCAATAAAGACGTAGTTGTTCCCCATATCCACGGTATATTGGAACTCCCTGTATATTTTGTGCCAGTTAAAATCTTACCGATTAAGTTGGGTTAGGGTATAGGACAAATTGGAATTAACCCTAGCAGATGCCCTTACGGTTTTCTCGAACCATTCGTGCTTTACCGTAGAGGTCGTGGTCAGTTTGTTCTGAGTAGTGGTCAGAACTGTATTCAATATTGTTCTGTTGTTCACTGAAATAAAAAGAAATACAAATTGAAGTGTAGTTAAATAACAAACCACCTTTTATTTTTAACAAACAAGTTTTAAAACACCCTTTATATTGACAATGTAGACCAATGAGTTTTTACACATATAGATCATACCCTTTGAATAAGAAGACTAAGGAAGGAGCATAATGCTATCCATGTATTTATGCATGGTGGGCGGAAAAAGGACTCTAGGGTGGGGATCCTTGACAGTTCTGTTTGACGATTCATTTGACACATTTGAATTTGATTTGAAATTTTGTGGATTTGTCAGTCTTTACGAAGCTTATTTTATGTTATTTATTATTTATTCTACTACTGATAGTTGTATAAAGGTAGTAAATCTAGATGGAAATTGTGGCAGAACTTAAATTAACAGTGACACTATCGTGATTTATCGAAAAAGACTCTAAAATAGTTGGTTGTGTAGCGTGCGGTAGATCTCGGCAAAATTCGAGTGAATGTAAATAATGGAACAACTTTTCGCTAGTAAGTGACTATATAATATACATACGTGTAGTAAACCGATCATTTATGAAATTCACTTAAATTAACTAATTATATATTTTTTCTTGCATTTTTGGTTTTATTTACTACTTGTCAAAGATTAGATGTCAAAGAATTTAGATACGTCAATTTGATTTACCTGCTTCAGTAGCGTATCGGATGTTTATGCTTATAAATAATTATTATAACTTATCTATTTTTATTAGAATTTTATATTTTTATAACAATTTTAATAACTACCAACATTTATTCACAACGTAAAATAAAAAAAAAATATTGAGTCTACCCCACGTCTACCCTACATCATAGTTTTACATTTTTGAAATAAAATTAGAACGGCACTGATAAACCGGAATTTAAGTCGGCCATATTTGAGGCCCATCGCGGTGGACCTAAGATTTTTGATATGCTCCTTCCTTAGTCTTCTTATTCAAAGATCATACCAAATAAACTTGTAGTCACGTGATTAAGCTTATTCGGCACAGCGTTGCCGACTTTTACTTATTTTCTTTTAATCAAAATATTTTAGAAAACAAAAATGAATTAATTATAAATATATAAACAGTTATTATTTACATCAACAAATCTCACCTCCTTAACAGCACTTATACACATAAAAAGCAATTATTACCGTTTTCCCGTTCAAAATAATCTAATAAAGTTGCGATGAGTTTTTTACGGTTATTAAGCTATCTGGTATATTTCGCATTAAAAGAGGTTCTAAAAAGAACAATGTCCGACTGCAAGGTATGCTAGTAAACATTTTCAAACTAAGTAAAGAATCACAACACTATTTATTTAAACCAAAAACTCGTAATACAAAACTAAATTGTCAAAACGAATCAAAATGTCGGGAAATAAATAAATAAATGTGACAAATTGACATCTTTTACAGCAGAGGTACCACCTGAATCTCCAGCGGGAAATTTAACTTTTTTAATTTATATTCCAGTTAGTCAGCCCGACGCCGAATATGCCCACGGTTGGCAACAATGAATTTAATATGCATGCTCTGGATGACGTAACTAAAAGATTATTTGGTATCGAATGTATATCAGTAATATACAGTACAAACCTGGCAAACTAGACGTAGGCCTAATAATTGGGCGTGGTCCTTGAGGTCGCTGAGGTACTAACTTTATAATACTGGGAGTTTGACCTAATTAAAAAATAAATCATAAACAAAATAAAACAAATATAAAATATAAAAAAATTAACACAAAACAAACATTAGTGGCTTCATTGAACGTTTAAATGATTCAACAATAATCAGTAAAGCCCCCTCTACACGTAACGTTCTACCTGTTCAGTCAAAACGTAACAAGTAAAACGTTGGGTGTAGACAAAAAACAAACAGATCATTTTACTTGAGCTGAATGGGCTCTTTCACTATATTTTGAAATTCGCATAATTGAATAAAGCAATTAATTCTAGAATTTTCTGCTATCTCACTTTCGAAAAACTTGAAGTCGTCCTTAAGAAAATAAATAAAAACAAGAAAGCCCAGAATAAAAATCCGCACTTTATTTTTAATACGTCACACCTGGCATGTTGAAAAGCGGCAACACCGCCGGGCCACCATGCTGACTATGCTGACCCATTTAAAATTTAACCATTTCGGCGTCAACTTTAGGAAGGTTATCAGATGACGCCTTTTCGAATCCAGGTTCTGGTACGACCATGATGGAACAAATTAACAAAAAATAACAATTTAAAACTTAAAACTTGATTACAAACTTTCACAAACGGAGTAAACAAAAAATTTAACCTCAAATTTATTATTCAACATGCACGTCAAATCAAATCGCAATGTTGCCAGTTGTTGGCTGGCGCACGAGCACGGTTCTGCAATGTGACTGGGCGTTTTTTTCATACGTCATCAATTGGCACCTTAAAATTATTCCAAATTAAAGAAATTTTGAGGGCATATAAAAAAATTATTCAATGTCATGGAAGTATTTTTTTTTTTGGATAAATATACTGAAAATAGTCTTCTATTTCAGATTTTGTCCTTGAATTGAGTATTTTATTTTTTGTGAAAGAGCCCATTAAGAGAGAAGACCGTTTAGAAAACTCATGGGATCATTCAGTTTTAAAAGAAACCTGTAGTTTTGCCTATAGAGAAAAAAAACATAATAAAATTTAATATTCTAATATTTTTGCATAGTTATAAAATAATATACATAATTTTATAAAATTGTTTATAGAAATATTTAATGATAATACATATAAAAAAGCACAAATAAAAAGCACAAATAAAAAAAAATCGGAAATGATATTGTAACTATGATTAATATTATTTTTTCATAAAAAAATAAATTAATTAAGGATAGAATAATAAAATCAAAACAAATATTTTAATACTCCCAAGTTACTTATTTACTTTATTTCAATAGTGTATTATTAAAATAAATAATAAAAAAAATATGAAGCCTAAAAAATAAACTAAAAGTAATAAAAGAAATTAGAAATAAATTAGAAAAAAATAATAAAAAAACGAAAAAATCAGCAAAAATACACTAAAATAAACAACTTACCTAAAGTTGGCCGCTGTATCGTGTAACTTGTAGGAACGCCTGGTTTTGCCCTAAATGTTGTGTTGCCAACTTTAAACATTGGCCTTGGAGGGCCCTGAAAAAAGATAATTGTGTAATATATAAAACTGTAATAGCAGTAAAACAATATAAAAATATCATAAGCCTATCAATAACTGCCACTAAAACAAATGCAAAAAAAAACTAGATTTTACTAGACCTTTACTATAAATTTCACTAAACTAACATCGTTGTGTTTTTTGATGACGTATTACCATATATATATACTATATCGCAAGCCAGGAATAGAAACTGAAGCCACATTTTTGAGATGGAGCTATACAAAATCTACATAAGTCGGTCCTTTTCGTTGAACAGCTTTGAACTACGCAAGCGTGAGAAGTGCTTCTCGATTAGTTGATTTATTTCATACTAACCAATAGAAGTAGTTTTCTAAGTTTCTATCTACCACGTATATCAATATAGTGTCCGACTATTCGCGCTTTTACTTATAAATTTAAATTTAATCTCTGACATATTTAAACAAAAACAAGAAACTGATAGATATGATGAATATCTAAAATCACAAGTTGAAATAATGCCATTACCAATAAAAAAATAATATATTATACGTTATTAATATTTAGAATTTAAAATAGTGTGCGGGCAGGTGACAGCGTTCGGGATGAAGTAGACGAATCAGATAATTTTATTTGGCGCGTGCGCACGAAAATCCTGTTGAACGAAAAGGATAGACTTATGCAAGATTGACATTCCTATTTATTTTCTTTGGCTTCACTTTCCACTCATTGTGTAAATGCGCGGTACTAGAATGTCTATACCTATGTAGCGGATTCATCTCTCCAAAACAATCCTTTATGGGTAACATCTAGACCCTTAAATGTTAGAATTAAAGAACATAAAGATTATTTAAGAAAGGGAGATTTTCACAAATCTAAGATTTGTCAGCATTCATGGGACACAGGGCACAGAATAAATTTTAATAACGCCAAAATTATAATGAAAGAAGCGATAGCCTCTAAAAGAAAAATAAGAGGCTTTTTTAATTCAATCTAATAAAAATAAATGTATTGCTCATGCATCTGTAGATGTTAGTAATGTATGGCAATCGCTTCTTTGATTTGAAAGAACATAACATAAATAAACACAACATAGGTAAAATTTAAAAATAATCATACAGAAAGTTTGGGGCTTTTTGGTTTTACCTTATTAACTAATTATTATCAGGTAGTAATTGTTAATTTTGAAGTTTAACTTGATATAATGTCATTTTAACAGAACGTCAACGGTTTCTTGTAGACGTATCTATTTAGACTTTATTTTAAAAGTAAAGTGTTCTCGAATGGTTGAATTTAAATATTTTAAATAGTTTTTTTCCTTTATTCTTTGTATTTATTTTGTTTCCGACGACGGAAAGAGATAAACTTTACGAAACGTTAAGCATTTGTTTCTTTGTTAGGCAAATTTGTATAACTGTAAACATAACTTCTGACAAGCAGTGTCCGTTTAGGTTTAACGCCAGAAGTGTTTATAAAAAATAACTTTTTTATTTTGTAGATTTTCTTGCAGTGCAGTGGCGAAATACCAATAAAGGATTTTTTTGGAGAAATATATTCTTAGAATACATTTGGGTCTTACATACCCCGGCGGTCGGTTTTTGCAAAAGTATTTGTCGTATTCCGGTAGTTGGCACTGGAGCGACACCTCCCTTTGGTAGAAGCGGCCTTAGCGGCGCTGGAACTTGCTTGTTTACTGTAGATGGTATGAGCACCGCAGGAACAGATTTCTGAAACAAAATAAGATAATAAAGAATAATAAAATGAGATGGCAAAGTCCAATACCGCCACAATTCGATCTTATGTTATTATATACTTTTTATTTATCTATTTTCTGTTTTGTTGGTTTTCGGTTAATTTTTTTAGTTTGATAGTTTTAAACTTCTAAAATTGTTACAAAAATATGTTGTCCATAACCAAAACAACCAAAGCAGGAACAGGAATAGGAGTATTTGGTTCGAAAACTAAATACTCCGAACCAATGAGCACCCCAGCATCCTTCAGGTAGTAATCTACGCTATCGAAAGATGCGCACAACTTATCTTAGATAGGAACTATTGGTAAAAAGAAATAGCCACCTTATCGGATAGCCAAGCAGCCTTTAAAGATCAACTCCATAACTATCAATTCGAAATTGGTTGCAAATGCCTAGAGAAGCCGAACCATTTAAGCACAGAAAATAAAGTCGTACTCTGTGTGCCAGCCCACCAAGGGATAGAAGGTAATGAAAAAGCAAATGATCTAGCTGGAAAAAGAGTGAACACTCCACTAACTGGACCAGAACTGTTCTGCTTCCCAAGCGTAAACCAACTTAAAGCAGAACTGAAGAACCTGGAAGACTTCATTCGTAACCTGATTTAGGAATCCCTCAACAGTCTAAAGCTGCGTCCACATTGCTAGCGAGCAGGCCGAACGACCACGTGAAACACGAAAACACGGCAAACAATCGGAGCGAGATGTTCGCGGATGTTTCCACTGTTCGCCTCTGTCTCTGAATTTATTCTACTAATTGCGAGGTTCAGAATGAAGCTTTATATAATTATTTAATAACAAAACTACGATGTATTCAGCGTTGAATACCTCCGTTTGTCAAAATGTAAGGAGCCGTTGTACTTACCCTTGTAAAAGGGTCCCCTCCATCGTCCAAGACAGGTTTGTAATCAGGATCATCGCTGGAGTCTTTTCTTTTCCGACGAACCGTTTTGGCCGCCTGTTGAGCTTTCTCCGATGACTCTTCCGGTTTGTTCTCATCGTTGGAACAACATTTCGTGTAATCTGTGGTCATCAATTCTGGGTGCTGTTCGGCTAGAACTTGAACTCGTCTGCACAGACAGAAATAATTTTGTATATCTGTTACAGCAAAAGTTGGAAATCAGTGATTGTTAACAATTACTACTGAAAGCTCACATTCACTGATCTGACACCAAACCAAACCAAAACAGCTATTTTTGAAACCAACTTTTACCAGGATTCCCTGGACGATAGCAGTGAGTTTGAAAGATTCAGTAAGCGCGGTTGCCACATGTAAAATATAAGGATAAATAAGGATAAGTTGAATAATAGGCAATATAAGGATAAAATTAAATCGGGCTAAACGTTGGCAACGTTGATAGACATCTAGCGTAAATTCGCTTTGTTTTTTGTGGTTATGTATAATTGTTTTGTTATCGCTGTAAAAAGTGCTGCGCGGTATTTTCCCTATGGAAGAAATTTTCTGTAAAAAATTAAGGTAAACTCGCAAGAATGCAAAAGCTAAACATACAAGAGAAAAAGATATTAAGGAACCTAGTGATTATGAATTTATTAAACGTTTTGAAGTAGCGGGTCTGAAAAAAACAAATAACTCCAGTTGAAGAAAATTCGGGCATACGTTATTTTCTCCACGATGAAGAACTTTATTAAAAAAACCTAGTACCAATAAGTAATCTTATGTTTATGAATGTTTTTTTTTAATTGTTTTGTACGCTTTAAAATGTTTACTCTGCTTTCTCTTTCAATATTTAGAAGGTTATGTCGTTATTTTCTATAATTTTTAATAAATATACTAAAGAAGTAAATTGTAGTTTTAAGATATGTGGGTCAGCTTGAATATTGGGGTGATCCAATATTCTTAAAAGTTTTATTTGTTCTAACTTCCACCAACATTATTCCTCACCACACTCACCCTGTACAATAGAATAACTTTCACTGGCAACCTATAGTAAATGTTACTTTCACTAGTGAATGTTAGAAATTACTAGAAAAAGTCGACAAATCTCTTTAAAATACCACATTCACTGGCCCAATGAGTAATGGCTAGCGTTTCCTAGTGAATGATAACAGTCCCTGAATTTTCGACTTTCACTGTTTACATTTGTTTTAAATAAACAAAACAACGTCAAAGGGTTAGTTATACCATTTATAACTACTCAAGAACGGCTGGACCGATTTTAATACTCCAGAAGGCAATAACATTTTTTTGTATCTATTTTCTCAGTGAGTGAATATAAATTTAGGAGACATTAAATGACAATTTGTGTATAATAACATATAACTTTTTTATTTTTTCAGATAAAAAAACGAGATTTGGTATGTTAGTATATGACATAAATTAGGATTGATTGACGAATTCAATTGTTTTTGGTCACTTCCTGTTTCACCGGAAATGACTACAACTTTTGATTTTTAAATGGCACCCTCGGTATTTTTTTACCTTATCCGATAGAAAATGACATTCTGAATAGAATGACATATCATATGTCAACGTTTGACATTCTCGCTTAATAAAAAATAGTATTTTAAAATTCAATCTAGAGTACCATAGCTATGTTAAAAACACTAATTCTTAATCAAGGAGCCTTGAAAAAATAGATTTGATCGTCTGTTTTTAGTGTCTTGTCCTGGCCAGTTAGAAAATGCCCAAATCGTATTTTTAATCATATCTCAATTTTTTCAAATGGGATGAAAGTGCCTCATTAGCATATTTGGAAAAAGCATTTTTTACGAATAATTCAAGTCAAATTTTCGTTACGAGCCGCAAGTTATAATTTCAAATAAACCATATGCAAAAATGTCAAAAGTTGACATATGATATGTCATTATATTCAGAATCTTATTTTCTATCGAATAAAGCGAAAAAATACCGACGGTGCAATTTAAAAATCAAAAGTTGCAGTCATTTCCGGTGAAACAGGAAGTGACCGAAAACAATTGAATACGTCAATCAATCGTAATTTATGTCATACTAGTTGAAGTCTGGCGCATCCGTCCCGACATCAGGAAAAAAAATACTTTTTATTTTTTTTAATTAAATGAAAAACAAAAAATCCGGCGACGACAGTTTTTAGAAGAGCCAATTAGCTATCTTTTAGTAAAAAAAGCAACTTTCTAGAGCAAGTCGTTACTTCAGTAGAGACGACAGAGATAAACATTAGCATTTTACATATGTAGATACTAACATACCAAATCTCGTTTTTTACCTGAAAAAATAAATAAGTTATAGGGGTTAGGTTAGTTGAGACGCACCCGGTATAATACTATAATTTCATAGAAAACACTCGTCTGGGTGTCATTTACAATCACGAAAGCCACGTCAGACTCACAAGTCAGGTCGTACATTTCGTATTTTTAGAAGCGAAAATTTTTGACACGCAATTTCGTGATTTTCAATATAGTAAAATCGAGAAGCATTACTCTTAAATAGTACTTACCTCAATTCAGTTCGATAATAATTCATGAATTCCGCGCACGATGCTTTCAAATAGCCGAGTTGCTTAGAATCACACCTGAAGCAATTCCAATCGTCACTGTCCCGGATTTCTTTAAATTTCCTTGGGCCAAAATTGTTTCTAATGCACCTCTGTTAAAACAAGAAATTATAGAAAACCAGCTGCATAAAATAGAATACAAAAATACCTTGCAGAAAACAAATTCACAAGATGAACAGCACAGTACTTGACCGCCTTGTCCACACCATCTGTAACAGAGAAGAAATATTTGCACATACTTCAATTGATAATTATTTTAATGTATTTTTAGGTTCCTTTAGTTCCAATGTGTTTTTCTGCTAGACTGTTTTTGTAATAAAAAATGTCTATACTTGTGTGGCGGATTCATCTCTCCAAAAAATCCTATATGGATATTTCACCACTGCAAGAAAATCTACAAAATAAAATAGTTATTTTTTGTAGACGGAAACTACTTGTCAGAAGTTAGGTTTACAGATATACAAATTTGCCTAACTAACAAAAAAATGCTTAACGTTTTGGAAAGTTTATCTCTTTCCGTCGTCGGAAGCAAAAAAATACAAAGAATAAAGAAAAAAAAACTATTTAAAATATTTAAATTCAACTATTCAAGAACACTTTAGTTTTTTAAAACAGATAAGGCTGCAAAAACCACTGACGTTCTATTAAAATGACATTATATCCAAGTTAATCTTCAAAATTAACAATTACTACCTGATAACAATTATTATTTAATAAGGTAACCAAAAAGCCCCAAACTTTCTTATTTGTTTTTTTTTTCTTTTTCAAATTATTTTTAATTTTTACGTATGTTACGTTTATTTATGTTATGTTCTTTAAAATCAAAGAAGCGATTGCCATACATTACTAACATCTACAGATGCATGAGCAATACATTTATTTTTATTAGATTGTATTAAAAAAACCTCTTTTATTTTTCTTTTAGATGCAATCGCTTCTTTCATTATAATTTTGGCGTTATTAAAATTTATTCTGTGCCCTGTGTCCCATGAATGTTGACAAATCTTAGATTTGTGAAAATCTCCCTTTCTTAAATAAATAATCTTTGTTCTTTAATTCGAATATTTAAGGGTCTGGATGTTTCACCAATGTATTTTTTTCTTTATTCTTTGTATTTTTTTGCTTCCGACGACGGAAAGAGATAAACTTTCCGAAACGTTTAGCATTTTTTTGTTAGTTGGCAAATTTGTATATCTGGAAACCTAACTTCTGACAAGTAGTTTCCGTTTGGGATTAACGCAGAAGTGTTTACAAAAAATAACTATTTTATTTTGTAGATTTTCTTGCAGTGGCGAAATACCCATATAGGATTTTTTGTTTTTGTAATGATAAGACAACTATATCAATCAAAAATCAATAGAAATAATATTAAGTAAGACTGTTCTTACCTACAATACAATTCGCTGCCATCTTCATCCTTTTCAAACTCACCACTTGTGTAAAAGTGATAGCAATTTTTGCATATCAACACTTTCAACAGGGGATGAACGAATCGGTTGTTTGCTCCGAATAAGGCACTGCCTAAGTGCACGTTGCACGCTGTACAATGGATCCTCGTGTACTGCACTGAATTTTCTGTAAAGCGAATTTACGCAATTAGTTGTTATTTACTCAATTAAAAAAAAATAGTTATAAATGAGAGTTTGAGTCATGCGACCTTAAAGAGATCTATTGTGCTCCCCTTCCTTGAGTCATCACACAATCTATAACCCATCATACCCCTGTTGTAGAGGGGACAGGGTATTTCCCATCCTCCTCTGACAACAGTTCTTTCTCCGAGGGTACACACCCTTCCACGGTTGGAGTTTGGCCCTCCGTGCCGCTCTTCACAGTCGAGGAGTGAGCCTCCGGCTGAGGAACCCGTGAGGTGGAGGCTGGAGGATCTATCTCCATTTTCTCCACCCCTTTAACTTGGTCTCTCCTTAGACCTGATACCGGTGTTGTCCCGTATCTATAGAGAAGACAGACCTCTTTCTCTATTGCCTCCTTGGATTTGAGGTCAATTCCTATTGTGAGGACCTGACCATGACCCTCCTCCCTCGAGATGATGACTCGCCAACTCCAACTGATTATATATTTATTATAATAGCTATGAATATTCAACTTACCTGGGTTAAATATTTTTTGTCGTATCTCCTCTTCTTCTGGCGTTAAATCAATTTGAACTAGAATAAAAGCACAAATAATCGTTTTTTAATAAAAAAAAAAGAAATTTGAAGGTGTTGTTACCTTCTGCTCCCGTTATTTCATCCACCAACTCAGAAAAGGTTGGTTCATATGGCAATGGACTAGTACTGCCGTCGTTAGGTGTAGATTCCGCTATAGAAAAAAAAAATTAGTATACATGAATGTCCAATGGAAAATATAATGGCCATTAATGTAGTTTCGTGTAATGTCCATTATACAAATGGAAAACAGTCAACCCAACCAAAGTAACACAGTTGATTGAGGAAATAAGAAGATGCGCAACCTTATGGGCGATTTCGTGGCACAAAACCTGTTCGAGCTGGTGTTACAGTCAGCTTGTCCGAGAATTACAAGATTTAGTTTAGCTCTGCGCCGCTGCGCGCTGATGGTCGTTTACAGCGCAGAGGATAAAGAATACTGTGCGCAGCGAATAAAGAATACTGGACCGTAGTTTTGCTTTCAGTCGACAGAGTGAGTGGATGCCGGAGACAGTGTTGCCAGAACTACTGATTAATCCGTAGATTTACGGATTTTTGGTACAGTAAGTTAAGAATGCGGATTTTCTATCATTAAACAATTTCATATAATATTATGTGATTAAACAAAGAACGGCGCTAGAGTTGGCTTGGAAATAAAGATCGCTGCTATTTTATATATAAAATATGATGGCAAATGCCAATAATCGTTATTTTCAAGCCAACTAAACTACTTTTTTCGATCATACGACATATTCAGTACCTATAAAAGAAATTTTTACTCTTGTTGTTTATTCTATGTTGAACACGAATACATTTTCAATATATAAACGCGGATTTTTCATCCAAAGATAGTTTCGTCAAACGTATTACAGATATTACACCTTAGACAAGGAAAGAGAGGGGACAGCTAACACGCATATTCTCCAGTGAAAAATTTTCGAGGCCAAAATTTGATCGGCGGCCATACTTTGGTGACACCAAGCGAATTTTTATGTTTTTTGTGAATACTCTTTTGTTTTAAATTTATAAGCTGTGTTGTTTAGTATGGTGAGATGTTCAGCGTATGGCTGCAAAGGCTGAAGCGAGAAAAAAATTACTGGAATTACATTTTACAGGTAAAAGTTGAATTTTTATTTTGTTGTTTATTCTATGTTTAACACCAATAAATTTTCAATACATAAACACAGATTTTTCATCCAAAGATATTTTCGAAACGTATTACAGATATTATACATTTTAATATGGCAACACTGTCGCTTTCAGATCCACACCGCCTTCGATATGCCTTCGCTGGCCGAATTTACTGATTAGGTCGACCGCGACGAATCTGCTATATCCCCTTCCATGTCTCTTAACAATATGCACAATTTCTCGGTTTATTTCATACGTTTGGCAACGTTTTTACCCTGTTCTCTCTTTGTTCAGTACATTAATAAACGCATTGTACTCTTCTTACATACGGAAATCTCGGCCCAAGACTAACCTTTGCCAGCCCTTAGTATGTTATACACTCTCATTTACGTGATAAAGGGATATAATTGTCAGCAAAAGAGAAACGTTAGACGAACTTAAAATAATTTTTTACTAATAGGCCAGTAAGCGAGGAGAAAAATAGGGTATTACCTCCGAATTCTTGACACCCGCACCGATTGACGTGAAATTTTAACAGTGAATAGAGATATACGTAAGAAACAAAAGTTACATAGTAGCGATGTGTGCTTTCACCCTGGGGGTGAGTGCCAGCCCTTCTCGGGAGTGAAAAATAAATCACTCATTTTAATTGCAAAAATCAAAAAAAAATGAATTCTAAGTAAAAAAATGTTCTATAACATTTTTTTACCATAAATGACAGATAAAAATATGCAGTTTTTAGATGAAAAATCAACATTTTCAATCCTAAATAACTCGGAAAATATTAATTTTCTAAAAAAATGTTATAGAACATTTTTTGCTTAGAATGTATCCCTTTGTTGAATTTTGCAATTAAAACGGGTTAATTATTTTTCACCCTCGAGAAGGGGTGGCACTCACCCCAAGGGCGAAAGCACACATCGCTACTATGTAACTTTTGTTTCTTACATATATCTCTATTGACTGTTAAAATTTCACGACAATCGGTGCAGGTGTTCAGAATTCCGACCCTAAAAGCCTCGCTTACTGGCCTATAAATACAGCCATTACTCGCTGACGAGTATTCGACACATATCAGAAGATGGTCACGAAAGGCGTTTTCTTTCATGAGCTTTTCTGTGACTGAAAAGCCCGATACGTGATGTTATCTGCCTACCGCACTCCGGACATTCAAACATCTCATTGCTTAGTTGCCTCTTTACTTTTTGGTTGTTGCTGTTAACTGAGTTTACAACTCTTCTCCATTGAGTTCTATTGTGAGCTGCTTCTTCCCACTCATTCTGCATGTTTATCCTCTTTAAGTTTTCGTGGAGAATGTCCTTGTATGTACCGTTTACTGGCCTATATATAAAACTAACAAAAAAGACACAAACCTGTATTAGTGATGACCAACGCCTCATCCACATCCATCGATATATCCGGACACAACAAAGAGGGATCAAAATCGTCGTCCATGTCCATGTCTTCATCCATTGGTCCACCATCCTGCATACTTCCACCGGCCTTATTTCCGTCATGATTGTTTTTCGCGACTTTCCCCTTTCTTCGCTTCTTCTGCGGCTCCGATCCATCACCGTTAACCTCGTCTTTTTGCTTACTATTCGATTTGCGCCTGCGCTTCGCCGTCTGTTTAACCGCCAGTTCTTGCAGATTCAACGGCTCCAGTACTACAGCTATGTCATTGCTATTCCTGATGATAGCGTCTGTCGTTTCGGCCGTAGATTCTTTGGTACTATCTGACGATTTTTCGCAGGTGCCGTTTTCAGACTTTGACATTTCTTGATCGCCATCGCAGGAAACTGTTTCCGAATTGCTCTCTTCGATTTTGTTGTTCAATACGGGGTCGTCGGCTTTTGTTTCGCTAGGAACTGCCGGTGATCCTTCATCGTTTTCTTTGTCGAGGTTTTCGCTAGATTCCTCACTGCTGACTGCTAGGGTGTCTCCTGAAGCGGTTGCTGAATAGGTATGATCTGGAAGAAAATAATTTAAGAATGTTGGGAACGGATTCAACCATGGCTGGGAAACTTAAATGGAAACGGCAGTTCATTAATAGTAAATTGTTTTATTACGAGCTTTGAATAAGAAGACTAAGGAAGGAGCATAATGCTATCCATGTATTCATGCATGGTGGGCGGAAAAAGTACTCTAGGGTGGGGATCCTTGACAGTTCTGTTTGACGATTCATTTGACACATTTGAATTTGATTTGAAGTGTTGTGGATTTGTCGGTCTTTACGGAGCTTATTTTATGTTATTTATTATTTATTCTACTACTGATAGTTGTATAAAGGTAGTAAATCTAGATGGAAATTGTGGCAGAACTTAAATTAACAGTGACACTATCGCGATTTATCGAAAAAGACTCTAAAATAGTTGGTTGTGTAGCGTGCGGTAGATATCGGCAAAAATTGAGTGAAATAATGGAACAACTTTTCGCTAGTAAGTGACTATATAATATACATACGTGTACTAAACCGATCATATATGAAACTTATATTTTATGAAATTCACTTAAATTAACTAAATTATATATTTTTCTTGAATTTTAGCTTTTATTTTATTACTTGTCAAAGATTAGATGTCAAAGAATTTAGATATGTTAATTTGACTTACCTGCTTCAGTAGGGTATTGGATGTTTGTGTTAATAGAGAGTTTTTAGGTCGCCTAATTGGTAAATGACGTAAAACGCGTTATACTGATCATGCGCAGTTTGTGAAAAATAACCGACAAAATTTGTTGGCCAGGTACTGTCATTTTAGATTTTGAACCGTTTATTTAACACGTCATCTGTCAAACGTTAACGTTGCCAAATAACCTCACAAACTGACTTTTGTTTTTCTCTTTTGGGGTTCGTGAAAATTGTTTATTATAATAAACAATGAATAATATTGAAAATATTATTAGAGTTCGAAATGCTGACGGAGAAATAGATAATAATTAATATTATAAGTGTCAAGATGTCAAGTGTCAACCATCAACTTGGATACTACATCTTGGCGTTGCCAATTTTTGTGACTCAAATATGTTGGTTATATTATTTTGAAGGACAAAAGAAGACAACAAAAAATATATTTTTAGGAACTATTTTACGTATTATTTGTTACCCATTTGTAGCAGTTTCTTTTTTTTTTCTTCTTTGATTAACCCAAATAAGTATTACACTTGGCAACCGTGCTAAAATGTATCCCGTAATAGCGTACCGTTTATTTGAACCTAATAAGCCTAAATAGCGGTGAACGCTATCCACTAATAGGGTAATCCCTTATTTTTGTATCAATGCGCATGCTCTATATAACGGATAACGTATAAAGCTGATCGAATAAGGGGCTTAAAAAGTCTCTAATAAATACTTATTATAACTTATCTATTTTTATTAGAATTATATATTTTTATAACAATTTTAATAACTACCAACATTTATTCACAACGTAAAATAAAACAACAAATTATTGAGTCTACTCCACGTCTACCCTACATCATAGTTTTACATTTTTTAAATAAAATTAGAACGACACTGATAAACCGGAATTTAAGTCGGCCATATTTGAGGCCCATCGCGGTGTACCTAAGATTTTTGATATGCTCCTTCCTTAGTCTTCTTATTCAAAGATTAGAAGTAATATTTTTTGTGGCAAGGCTATACCACAGATTATAAACTTTGTTTTTTCTTTATTGTTTTTCGTGGTTCCAATTTTCGGAATCGGGCACTAGTTAGTTTACTAGTTTGCGCACATAGCACGCCCACTTATGGCCTCTAAAATTGTGCACAGCGCCTGACTAAATACACAAATTTGTGACGCACAGCGTCACAAATATTAGAGAGATATCGGAAAACCGAATAGCGTCATGCAGTATTTACGCGTACCTTATCATGATAACGATATGCGCGAGTCAATTTTTAACGCAACACCCGCTAATCGTTACCGCCTGACGTAATTTGCGGATCAATTACACCAAGCGCTATTTCTAAATAACGTTTAAAAATTGCTTAAATGGGCATGTGCGGGTATTTGACAACCGGGGCCGGCCAGCGAGAACTTTTATTTTACGTTATGTTTTGATTATTTTGAATTATTACTTTAGTTTTATTAGGTAATTTGATATTTAAGTAGCTGGGATTAGTTTTAATTAAATAAATATGGCCCAAAATATGGATTCCACCTCTTCCAATATTAAAGAACCTATAAAGAGGCTTAGCTTTACAGCAGATTACGACTTAGCCCTTCTAAGAGAATTTGTTGCTTGTTGCCCTAAACCCACGGGCAGACGTTGAACAATAAAGCACTGGAAATAAGCACTTTAGCCCTTTAGTTTTAAAATACCTAGTAAACAAAACAATTTCAAAGTTTTAAATTTAAAGTTAGGTTAAGTTTAAATAGCGGACGCGACGCGAACAGAATTCTTTCCGATCCGATAACTATAAATGAAGAGAGTTAATACCACCCCACGTAAAGGAAATAACACCTGGCCTTATTAACGTCCATGCACGCTATTCGGTTTAGCGATATCTCTCTATTACGCTGTTTATTGTTATTTTACGCGAGTTTATTTTTGCGCACAGGAAATTTTACTCGTTTGCACACCGCCATAAAAGACAATTTTCGTACCACGAATTAGGGGTAAGATTTTTATCTGTATACATATAGTATACCTAATCTGTGATCATATCGACATTGACACTAAAGTCTATAAAACTGACTAAATAAAATTTCGGCAAAAATGTTTAAATTTGTTGTATAATTTAAGATACCGAGCAGCTCTTAATTTTACTTTATAGAACAAATGATTGTAACAGATATTTTATTTAGATTAAAGCTACAAAAATTAGTTTAAACAGAATTTTATTATCGCTATATTGGTCACATTGCGCCATTTTCAGTAAGATTGTCGTTTATTATTTATAATTATCCTAATGTCAGTCATTATTTGTGAGTTTCGTTTTTTGTTTATTTTCAGTCTTTTTTTTAAATTGTACTTTTAAGCACAAACAGTTCTTTTAAGAACTAAATTTTCGAGTTTTTTTATTGCATTTCTTGAAATTGTGTGTTGAAAATATGCCGAAGCGTTTAAACAGTAGAAGCAAATAGCATGTAGCTTCCCTGACAAACTATTTTGAACGAAAACATGACAATAAAGGTTCTTTATTACCCTTGACTGCAGTCAGAGGAGTAAGTTTGATTGATAAGCACATTACATCATTTTCAAAGTTATTTCTACGTTTTTTTTATTAAATTCTGTGATTATTGTTTGTGCATTAATAGCACCCTCTTACTTGTTACTACCACTTATGGCGTTGTAAGATGTACATCAATAAATAAATAAATAACCCATAATAACGCTTAGAATAACCTTCATAATGGACTAGTTTTTGCCAATATGTAATAAATAAAATAAGTTATAAAACAAATAAATCAATTAATTACTAAAATATTAGTTATTAAATTAAAAATAAAACGTAAAAATCTTTAAAAAATGATATAATAAATATACATATTGTTTGTCACTCGTAAATTAAAATTCATCTCATAAATCCATCACAATCTGGCAGCGCTGTCACCGTCGCTTTCTTTGTCTATGTCACTCAGAGTTGATCACGTGCATCGGAAATTGTTTTGCAGTTATTATAGGAACTTCTTTCAATGCGCAGTAGTGAACGCAACATCTAAACGCCACAAATATTTTTTTTAAATAATTTCAAACATTGCAAATAATATAAAAAGTATTACCGTGTAATTAATATGTCAAAAAACTATGGTTACACTCTTTGAATTTGACTTTTTTTGTGCCTAGGCGTAGAAGTGTTTTATTACTTTTACTCAATCTCAAAATAAATTACAACCTTCTTAAAACCAGCTGGCAGTAAATCCAATTAAAAAATAAAGAAAAGTACGGGCCAAGTAATGACGTCTAGGGCTTGACTTCGCTAAAATTATCATCGATTGTCATTCCCCAGCCGTTTATGACGCCGTTTTTTTTCGATCGTATGGTATATCATGCAGATGTTAATACAGTATAACTTTGGCAATCCGTACACCTCGTAAACCGTACACTCCAGTCAATCGGACACCCGCTACAGTTCGGACATTTTCAGATTTTTACCTTCTGTAATTCGGACACTGCTAAAAAGCATGACAAATTACAACGGCTAAATGCGAAAAAGTATACTAGTATGTATACATATGTAAAGAAATACTTTTTAATACATGCAGCGGCTATGTCCAGTCAGTCGTACGTAGTATTTATTTGGCGCCGAGTGTTAGACCACGTGTAAAAAATGACTCCAACGAAACGCGTCCATTGCTCTGCTACTATTAAAGAGAAGTGTAAAATTCTTGACAGTTTAGATGCAGGTGGTAGTGTTCGGCATGTTGCGAAACTTTTCAAGATACCAAAATCAACAGTATCCGATATAAAGAAGAACAGAGTGAAGATTCGAAATTTTGTTGCGAGGTCGTACACTGATATAGGTAAGTTTTATGAATAAATGCTGGGTTTTGAGTTTGCACTAAAGATATGTAATGTTTTTTAGGCCAGAGAAAAGTTGTGAAAAAGCCCGAGAATCCTGATGTGGAAGAGGCGTTATACACTTGGTTTCTACAGCAACGTAAAAATCACATTCCTGTCTCTAGTGAAGTCTTGCGCACAAAAGCCAGATTTTTTTTATGAGCGCATCACTGGAAAGACTAACTTTCAAGCTAGTTCAGGATGGCTTGACAAATTTAAGGCAAGACGCGGCATTCGTTTTTTAAAAGTATGCGGAGAACGTGTTTCAAGTGACGCTGAAGCAGTTGCTCCTTTCAAACTTAAACTGCAAGCCCTGATTGAGAAAATGCAATTAACTAAAGAGCAAGTCTACAATGCGGATGAATCCGCACTTTTTTGGAGGGTTTTGCCAAACACGACGTGGGTGCATAAAGATGAGAAATCGGCACCAGGGAGGAACGTTTCAAAAGACCGTGTAATCTTTATGCCATGCTCAAATGCATCAGGCACACATAAGTTGCCGTTACTTGTGTTCTAGGTAAATCTAAGAACCCCCGAGTTTTCAAAAATGCACAGTTGCCTGTGAAATACGAGGCTAGTACCAAAGGATGGATGACCCGAAACATATTCTCTGAGTGGTTTAAAACAATCTTTGTTCCTGAAGTGAAACAATATCTGAGTAACGCCAATAAGCCATGCAGGGCACTGCTTCTTGTTGACAATGCGCCTTCACACCCACCCGAAGAAGAGCTCAATACGAATCCAAATTTCATAGTGGTGTTTTTGCCTCCTAATTGTACTGCATTAGTTCAGCCAATGGATCAGAACTCATGGTACAAAGAATACAAGGTATGATCGATAGCGGCTCCAATTTCGTTCAGTTCGCGCATACCACCTGTGACGTCACTAGGAAAATAATGAATAAATAAAAAATAAGAAAGTTGACAGGAGATCTGCATTTTGAGGTTATGGCTGGGTTATGGTTAAGAATATGTTTAATTTTTAAAGACTTTTTAGTTCGTTTAATTTAATAATTCCTAGAAAACCAGGAGTTCCAAAAATATATTTAAAAATAATAATTATCTATTAACATGGATTGGGACGATAGGTAAGATAACTAAATTAATTTCTAATATTCGTATAAAATTGTTTATTAGGTTTTTAGTTTGCGATGTTTATCGGTAAATAATTTCATTTTCATTGCCTCTGAATTCACATGAGGACAGAGTTGAGGTTATCTATGGAAAAGTAACCAAACAAAGGAATTGTTATCATTCATTTAAAAAAATGTTGGGAAAGTTTATTGTTTCCAATCGAAAAGTAGAAAATGCTAATGCAGATGAACGTATTGTAATTGTGATAAGAAGTAATTCTAAGGGTGAAGTTTATATAATTAGTGAAGTAATACCAAGGGTGAAATTAATTATAATTATGTGACCTGTGCTCTTTTTATATGTAGATTCGGTTTTGAAAATAAATCGTTTGAAACGACACCCAAAATTTAAAGGAAGTAATTGCATACTCAAATATGCCCATCAAGGATAATATAGCTCAAATTTCCTTTAATGGTAGGCAATTATTCATTGCAAATTAACTTTTTAAGTGACCGAAATATTAAATAGTTTATCAATATGGTATATCACTAAAAAATATATTACTTTAGGTACAATTAGGGCACGATACATTTAAAAAGGAAGAAATATTATTTTAATTAAATGAGGTTATTAACAACGATAATTTATAGTTAATACGGAGATAAAAAATAACAGAATAATATAGTTTCTTTTTTTATACTGATCAAAAATAAACTATATAGAATCCAACAGTATTTAAAAAAATAAATAAAAAAGTTATGTCCGGCCGAGATTCGAACTCCGGTCTCGCGCTTCCTAGCCCGACTCCTTATGCATTGCTCCACAGTAACTTGCTAGCGATAATTCAATGACGGTATATTAAACAAAAAAAACAGGTTTATAGCAATATCTTGAGAATTTGAACTGGCGCGCGGAGCTTTGCCGACCAATTAGCGCCTGTTATCACCTGTGAAGTAGCGACCAACCTGCGCATTATCATACCTCGTATTCTTTGTACCATGGTATGTGTACTAAACAAATAATTTATATTAATAACGGAGATTAAAAAAATACAGAATAAATAGTTCTTTTTTTTATACTACAAAAAAAAAAAATATTTTTTTTTTTTTTTACATTTAAAAAATAAATAAAAAGTTAGTCCCGGCCGAGATCGAACTCGGTCTCTCGCTTCCTAGGCCGACTCCTTACGCACTGCTCCACAGTAAATTGCTTAGCGATAATTCAATGACGGATATAACAAAAACAGGTTTATAAAATATCTTGACGATTTGAACTGGCCCGCGGAGCGTGCTGACCAATAAGCGCCTGTTATCAACTGTGACGTAGCGACCAACCTGCGCATTATCATACCTCGTATTCTTTGTATCCAATGATCAGAAACTTGATACAAATAAAAGGTGTTTCTTATAGCAAGGGCAATTGCTGACCACATTATATCATCACAAGAAAACAAAGACACAATGCAACTCCTGAAGAAATTTAGTCTTCTGGATGCAGTGAATACTCTCGACTCTGCTTGGAAGTCCATAACCGAAAAGAATATTCAAGAAAGCTGGGATGGAATATGGCCTCAATTGGTGTCAGATGAAGAAGATGATATTTTGCTGGCCGATCTAAGAAAAAGCCTACTTGAAGAAGCCAGGAAACTCACAACGACCCTGAAAAAAATGTTTAAAATTTTTTTTTTTTTTTTAAAATAATATAATTGATGGAAGAAATAAGAAACTGGGCGACAGGAAGAGACGAAATAGCTGTTGATAATGTCGGCGACAAGGAAATAATTGAATAAGTACATCAACACAAATATACGAAGCAGGAGGATGTTATCGATTCTACAAAAAATCAAAACACATAGAAGCAGTACAGTGTTTTTCAAAATGCGTGCAGTGGGCAGAAGAAAACAAATTGAATTATCAAGAAGTCAATTTTAATTGAAAAAAAAAAAATTTAGAACTATCAAGAAAGCTTCACAATGAGAACCTTAGAAATACAAAAAAAAATTGGTGACTTTTGCCTTTAAATACTGCCGTACAAATATTACCTTCGCCAGAATAGCGGCAAAAAGTTGGATATTGTTCTTAAACTTTTTCTATAATACTATAACACGATTTTTTCGTCAAACACTTGAGTTAAGCTTGGTCAAGTATTGTTGCGGCCCGGTGTGGACTCGACCTAAACTCACAATATGGCCCGCCTCGGATGACCTTAACATCGTATAGACACCGCAATGATTATTCGTTCGAGAAGAATCGAGTCCCATTGGAATGGACTAGTACATACTAGAACATTCGAAAACCTTCTCTACGCCCCTAACGATCTATGGACAATTTTAGAGTTCTTTACTGTCGGTTTAAAAGCCGGCGGCGGTGGCCTACAGGGGCAGTTATAAATCCAGTGCGATTACCGCGCTACAATTAAAATAAATTCTTCAGTTATAAGTGTTTTGTAAATTGATGGAAACAGGAGTGTCTAACTAAGTCTTTTTCGTTATGGAGTTTCGTTTCGGCACCCCAGGTACTAGTGTTAATATGTGAAATAGTGGATTTAAATATTAGTCGACTTTCACTCACGGAACCCGAGAGAAAACGTAAACAATATACAATATCTAATAAGCTAAAAATTAATCTGTGCTTTCATTATCGCATAACTAGGTAATTCCGGAGTATTCACCAATCCAGTGAGAAACACTAAACTATATCTTCCGATTACCGAACGTTCTAGTGTATTAGGTAAATAATGATTTATAGTGTGTAAAAACTAACTGTCACATTTGGACAGTTGATATCTTATTTTCTTACAGTCTTTATTTTCATCTAAAGTTCAGAAAAAAAATAAAGTACACAATAAAATTTAAAAAAAAAAAAGATACAAAAAAGAGTAATAAAATGGTATGATAAATTAAATAATTAAATTTACCAGTTGAAAGCTTGGAGTTGTCTTCTTCTTGACTATTGCCATCATTATCTTTATCTGAAAATAATAAAAAAATATAACTATTTTTTTTTTTTATTTTGTTTCTTTTGCGATTGTTAATCTATACTCTAATACAGGGTGGCGGGCCACTCTGCATCTACAATAGAATAGATTGTTAACACCCTGTACATTACTTTCCAGAATTAGTCCTTGTGCGAAGGAAGAGAAATAAACTTTACAGAAAAATGTACCTATCTGGCTCAGATTTTGAATGAAAAGCGATTTTTCAATAAAATTGTAATCAAGATGGCTAACGTTGTCATGGCAAGTTTCTAGTGACAATCAGTAGCTATTTTCAAAATCGAAATTAGTTTATGGACTTGATTAAAAAAATAAAAATCGCTTTTTATTCAAAATCTGAGCTAGATAGGTATAGGAAACTCTAATATAGTTTGAAAGAGCATTTGAATCTGCTTCGATTTATTTTAAAAAACTACATTTTTTTTTTTTTTTTTTTTTTTTTTTTTAATAAAATCATTAAAACTACGATAGCAACTTTTGATAGCCCTGTATAAATTTAACGGACCAATACATTTTTCAGTAACATGTTTATTTCTCTAACTTTAAACTCAGCAAAAGAATTAAATTCTGAAAAGTAACGTTTACAGGGTGTTATAGTCTATTCTAGTAACCTGCAAATTTAAATATACAGGGTTTTCACCACATACGAGACCGGAGTATTGTAGCTAAACGAAGAGATTTTTTAAACAAATTGTAAGTTTGGGTTGTTGAAGGACTATTGAAGCTACAATTTAAAAATATTTTTACAAGATACAGAGTGTCCCAAATAAATAAAAATATCAAAGTTTTGTATTTTTTTTAATGGATTTTTTTTTTTTTTAAATTTTATTACATTTTAGTTTCTACGATTAAAATAAAGGTAACATTTGATTAACGGTTATTATACTTAAAAACCTTACCGGTTTTGAAAGTATTTTCAAATTTTGTAATGCAGTAAAAATTATAAAGCTTCATTTCTCCAAGGGTACAATGTTTTTAATACTCAAATATTTATGAAAGTTTATTTATTGATCCATTATTGTGTTGCATAATAAAATAAAATACTACCTTTTACAGAGTGTCTAAAAATTTATTTTAAATAATTATTAGCTTCAAAACGGCAATAACTCTTTAAATTAAAATGGAATGCCCTGTATATTTAGGAGAACCCATCACCGATTGCGCACAATTCAAATCTGTCTATCAGATGTATATACCATTTTTACTA